AACGCAAATGCAGAAAAATTCTATAAATATGTATAAGTTTTTCGTGAGCCAATCTAAAATCGACTCGCACAAATTGAATACGAAATTCCATTCGTATATGCCAGATATTTTCTCTCCTATTGATTGTTTTGGCGTTAGCTAACCCTGACAGAAAAAAGTAAAGAACGCCATCCGAAACAGGCAGCTGACGGGATTTTACACACGACTCTATGTCTGGCATTCTCGATGCACCCACACTCGGAACTCGAAACTCGAAATTGGGAACTCCGTGACCAACCCGAAATATACTCTATATGCCCAGCTCTGTGGGTGGCAGCTGCCAAATGCCGCGAGCTGCGAAACAAAACAAAACAGGGGAAAAAAAAGTAATAGAACTTGGTACAAATGACAAGCTCAAATGGCTCAAATGTTTTTGTTTGCAATCATATTATATTTATGCACAGTTTGCATCTCGCTCTACGCTGTTTTAGCCAGTCTCCTGCCTCGTTCCAGCTTTAGTCTGATGAAATGTGTTTGGATATATTTCTTTTTTTTTCTGTTCACATTGAAAGTGGGTATGAAAAAAGAGTATATTGGCTTGGGGTAGTTGTATGCTAGCAGGAATTAAGTCGAAGTGTGCTATACATAAAAATATATAATACAGTCCAGTTCCGATAGTTCGAAATTGCAAAGTCGTCCGTTTTCTTTTTCGATTTACTCGGAAATTCAAACTATCGAAAATGAATTTTTTCAATGGGGATAACATTTTTTAGCGGAGTACAAGCTATCGAGACTCGAAAGTAGTAGTATGACTGAACACTAAAGAAAACTAAGGGATAACCATATTTTTAAAAGAATTTGAAGCGAATAATAAAATTGACATATATAGTTATTCATTTATACATATGTGATTAAGATTATTCAATTAAATTGGAGTCTGGAAAACTCAAATAGTTGAAGTCTGGAAATTTGCTAGAAACCTTAAACAAACCCAGTTTACATTCTTTCCTTCATTCCTTGATTGTTAAGAACTTGTAAGCCATAAGAGCTGTTTATATAAATATGAAATGGAGTTTCTCATAAAAAAAAAAAATAAATATAACAAATATTTGAATTCTGAGATAATTCAACAATAAAGTAAAAATACCTATATAACTGCAGCTCTAGGATTTATTCAGCGTATTTCCCAGTCGGCTACTCTTAATTAGAATACATTCTGTACTTTTTTTTTTTTCGTACCTAGCGTACTTTTGCATATGGAATTGATGCCCATTCTTCGCTGGCCTAATGCTCGTTTGGGTTAATCAAGGCTCGAGATTTTAAATTTTATTTATCATTTGGGGTTTATTTTTTTTGGGAATGCTTTTTGGCTGTTTGTAATTCCATTTCGTTTATTTGGTTTATTTATTTTGGTACCCAAATTGCATATTTTGCAACGGGACACTTTTGCTGTTGCTTAATATGTAATATATATAAATATATATATAAAGAGAGAGAGAGAGTGAGAGAGAGTGTATATCAACGATATGGACCGTCCCAGCCCTCCCGCGCCAAGTGCTTCAACTTTATTATTACATTTTTTTGCCATTTATTTTACATKTATTTATTTCTTTTTTGGGAGCGAGGGTTTAAGAGCTTGTCAGCGTATGTGTGTTTCCCAGCTGTGTGTGTGAGTGTGTAACGCCCTTTATTCGGACAGTGCATTTTTAATATAATTTTTGCAGTTGCCCTGTCCTGCCTCGCCCCCCGCTGGCTTACGTTTGCCTCAGCTGCCGCGGCCACAATTTTTTCAGATTTTTTTCAGGTTTTTTTTTTCGTACTTATTTTGTTTTTTGCCGCGCCCACCTCTGCTGCCCAAGCCTTGTTTGTAGTGGGCGTATATATWTGTATGTATGTATATAATTTTTTGTATATGCCATGTGTGAAGTCCTGGGGGTTGGTCGCCGCCCATTGGCAACTGTCCGGTTTGCAGGTGGATGCGCTGCATATGCAAATGGTACACATGGATATGAAAAAATATCCATATATATATATATATATATATAATTTTTTTTGTTTCGCTGCTGCATTGAGGCTGGGGCGGAGGAGTAGTCTAGCAGGCGTAATAAGCAGGCGTTGTCACGCGTACAGTTGAAACGTTGGTTCGGGTTCTGGTTCGAGTTTGAGAGTCTGAGTTTGGTTCCGCAACAAACAGGAAAAATACTTTCTGCCATATAAGCAAAAAGTATTTTTAATGAATTTTTATGCTGGGCGGTGTATTGTTTTTTAGTGTTTTTAATTAATTAAAAAAATATATATGCGTGTACATATATATATTTATAATTGCATAATATTTTAATTGAAATGGAGGTGGAGAAATGGGTAAAAGCGTWGAGCGACTGGATAATGGGAACATTGTTGCTAAGGTCGTTTAATCAGGTGCGGATTTCAAGTGTTGCTCTCACTTTGATCACAAGGTAAACCGAAAATGATTTTAGAATAATTAAATTAATGCTGCTACACAACATTTGGATATAATAGTGGATTAATCAGTAAACCAGGTTTAATGAAAAGAAAAAGAATTTAACAATGAAAGTGAAGTTGTTTAATATATGTAGAGCTTGCTATAGATGATATGGTTAGGTAGATCCAAGTTTTCCAAGTTTTAAAGTCGCCTTTAGTTCAAATCTTATGTCATTCACAACACACTTCAAGGAATATAGAATACGAAAGATTCGTAATCATAGGATGGCCAATAATTGCAAAGTCCTCGCTCTGAAACTCAGGCAAGCGTGCCACCTCCAAATCCACCTGTTGCCAGCGCTGAATCATGTAGTGGCGCTTTTGGAGTTCGGCAACGGACAGACGATCGCTCAGCAGACAATTGCAACAGATGCGTTGTATCAAAAAGCATTGCAGTGGCACATCTTTCAGTCCACCCATCGTAGTCAAAATATTTGGCCCTGCCAGCAGTAGCCGAGGCACGTTATCGCGGAGCAGTCGAAAAGCTTCACGAAGATCTCGAGCGTGTCGTTCGAGCACTTTCTCCTGATCGTCCCAGTGACACCTATCGGATCAGAGATCATTGTTGCCCACGAACACGGTGATCAGCTTCCAGTGCATCAGATCGACGAGCACACGTACGTGATACAGCAGATAGTGCGACATTAGCATTGGTTTGGCAATGTTGAGGTGCGAAGTCTCATGATTTACGACCAGACTGTGACTCGTGGCATAGCCATAAAGTTTCGGATTGAAGACCTTTAGTATGTTGGGCAGAGTTAAGACTGTGCGGCACGTGCCCAAGCCTCCGCCAGAAAAGCTAAAGCCCCGCAACTCGTCAAACATGCCGAGCACACTGCTGGATAATACGCAGCCACGATGCAGACGTTCCACAGAGTTTAGTGGTGTGCAGGATCAAGTATTGTTGAGCGAGCAGGGAAACGGAAAATGACTAGGAAACGGCACTTGCAGTTTGCAAGAAAAAATTGGCGCAAATACCGATCCCTGTCTGTATAGACTGAAACACCATTTGTAATCGGTCCAAGTGGATTAACGCGATCAACACGCAATCAAATATTGTCCAGCTGCTGTTGGGAGCGATTCTGCTCTCGAATACGTGGAACTTGAGGAAGCAAAGAGGCTGTGTGAGTGGCAATGAAAAGTAGCCCAATGAGCACAGTCCATTTATTTGGCATTACGACTATGTGGAACGTATGTTTGCACATATCAATCACTCTTGATGCATGGAGCACATTTTCGTATGTGGATTCTAAGTAATTTAGTGAGTTCAATATTAATTATAACAATCTAGTTCACAAGTACTGTGGATTGTATGTGGATGCTATGTAGAATCAAGAGGTTGGAATGTCTTGTCTTATATGGAAACATCTAATACGTTTAGTAATTTTATGCGTGTAAATTGTGTGTGGATTCTAAGTTTTTCATTCGGTTTTTGATTTTTACATATTTTGGCAAATATCAAATTACTTTTATTCGCGTGTGGATTCAATGTTTTTTGTACATTATTTTCGGTTTAGACAGACTTTGGTAAATATCAAATTACTTTGTTGATATCACTTGCTAATGTCAAGCACATTTGTGATGTTTTAGTCGTCCGCACTTCTTTAGAAATTCGTTTTTTACACTTATTAACTTTTCTGCTTAGGCTGAGCTATACTTTGTAGTGCTACAATAGTAGTTCATACAACGACTTCTCGTTACGTACTCATCCAAAACGCAAATGTGTCGAGCGCTTAAATATGAGTTTTAATATTTCGCTTACATTTTTAACTTTAGCCGACTTAACTTTGACCTTTGATATAATATTATGTTTATTATACTTTTGCTAAAATCTGTATAATTACATATTGTTTTGACTGTTTATGTAATTTTTTCCTTAAAACTCAACACCTAAATTTACTTATACTCTATATCTACGACACGGCAATAGCATTTAATTGTCGTGCATGATTTCAGCTCACAGCTCAGCTACACAAAGATGTGCTCATTAGGCTTGAGCGACAACACTTACAATATTAATAGCGAATTGTTTAAAACGATATATTTGTCAAAGTAACTGAAGCATAGTGATCTAAGTGCTGTCTATGCATAAATCTAGTCTTGCTATATTCATTCGTATACGATATGGGTTGCTGTTTATAGAAGATATAAAGATATACTATATCCATACTATTTATTTTATTGATTTGAAGTGATCTAAAAATATAAACTATATATAAATAGGTGAGTCTTGGATATGGTTGATTCTATAAGCTATATCTATAAGCAATAAGCACTAAGTGGAAGCAATTCAGAATATGCCCTCACACACTTTTTAGCTTGTAAAGGAAAAAGTAAGCAGATAATTAATAAATACTTTTAAAA